TCGCCTGGGTTCGATCACCTCCGGCACCACAATCTAGGATCAGCCTCCCCCAGGGGATGCAACCCCATGCAAGGAGACGGGGGGGGGCGTTTCTCCAGAGGGTTTCTGGGTGCTTCCAGGAAGGCTTCCTTCCCGAAGGCTGCAGGGCTTCGAAGAAGCCAGAGGAGGAGGAGGAGGAGGAGGAGGAGGAGGAGGAGGAGGAGGAGGATCAGCCACCCCCTGGTGTCGGGTCCAACTATTTGTCTCTTTCAGCACGTTCAGGGGTCGGGCGGATGCCCAATCGCTTTTCCAACGCCTTCCTGCTTCATGGTTCCACCGACCGATGGGCAATTGACAAATACACAACCTGTGCTGTGCTTCTGATATCTTCTGCAAGAGAAGTACCCGAGAGAACCGATGAAACGCCAGCAGTGTCAAGACACAGTGGTACGGATGCAGCTCCTGGGAGGTCAGATTCTGCCCTGGTCCGAAATCTGGCTTCATCTGGCCTATTCCTGCTTCCTCCCGCTCAGTCCCGCTCCACCCGGCTTCATCCCGCTTATCATCCGCAGCTGGATCCGGCGTAGCAGCCCCCACTTGGGCCTCAGTCTTTCGCAGTCCTTCCAGGATTAGGGAGCATTTCTCAGTCCTTCCTCGACCCTTTCTCGAAAAATCCTTCCTGAATCCTCCATGAATCCTTTCGTAAAAAAAGAGTGCTCCCCAACCCTCCCGACGAAAAAAGCCTCCCAGGAGTCCTCCTCCTCCTCCTCCTCCTCCTCCTCCTCCTCCTCCTCCTCCTCCTCCTCCTCCTCCTCCTCCTCCTCCTCCTCAATCCAAGTGGCCGTATGCCCGCGCCGCGCCCCCCTGCCCTGATCATTGAATCCCGGAAAAATCCAGGCGCGAACGGTAGCGACCGGTAGCGGCGATTCGTCGGTCGCGACCAGTCGCGACCGACCCGCGACCGACTTCGAAATCTCCTTGTTCGCGACCGATCCGCGACCGACCCGCGACCGACCCGCGACCGACCCGCGACCGACGTCGAAATCTCAGATCTGAAGATGATCTGTCGACAGACCATCTTCAGATCGCATTCTGGGCATTCTCTATCTGTAGATGATCTGTCGACAGATCATCTACAGACGATCTTCAGATCTCATTCCTGGACATTCTCAATCTGAAGATGATCTGTCGACAGATCATCTACAGACCATCTTCAGATCTCATTCCTGGACATTCTCAATCTGAAGATGATCTGTCGACAGATCATCTACAGACGATCTTCAAATCGCATTCCTGGGCGCTCTCAGTAGCTTGAGACATCTTCCTGATGGCGTAGGCAAGATGAAAGGAAGAGAAATATCGAGGATGGGCAGAGATATGCTGAGGATGAGGGGCAGGTGCCATGAGGGGGGTAGCTGGAGGAGAAGGAGGGAGACGTAGGCGGTAGGAGGAGGAGGTAGGCGCAGGAGGTAGCAGGAGGTAGCAGGTAGGAGGTAGGATGTAGGAGGAGGAGAAGGAGGAGGAGGAGAAGGAGAAGGAGGAGGAGGAGGAGGAGGAGGACGTCACATTCTATTATAACTCATCACATCCTAGCCTTGACACCGTTGTCTTTGTGGAAACGCTGCCTGGAAACAGCCCTGAGACTCGCCCCTGCGAAATATAAGGGTTCGACCCTCCGAATTTCGAGGCGTTTCCAGCCGTTGCAGCGAGTAGGCATAGGTTGTCCACGGGACGCAAAAAACATCCTCGTATCCTCATCCTCAGCGGACGCTGTTTCCGCACACCGCAGCCCACCTGGCCGCTTCGACAGCGCTATCCGCGCACGTGCTCGGCTTCGCCCTTCTCCGCCCTGCCCGTCTGCTGCTCCGCCTCCTCCTCCTCCACCTCCTCTTCCTCTTCCTCCTCCTCCTCCTCCTCCTCCTCCCCCTCCTCCTCCTCCTCCTCCTCCTCCTCCTCCTCCTCCTCCTCCTCCTCCTGCTCCCCCTCCTATTCCTCCTCCTCCTCCTCCTCCATTTTCTCCTTCTCCTCCCCCTCCTCCAATGTTATCCTCCCCCTTCTCCTTCTCCTCCTCCAACCTGCTCCTCCTACAGTGCTCGTTCCCTGTTTCCCTATACCTCGTGAAAACCGTTGGATCCCCTTATCAGATTATTTCACAGACCGTTGTTGATGCAGTTGCCATGGGTCTGGATTTCTTCTCATTTGGGAACTGTAAAAAAGACAACTGCTGTATTTTACCTACAGCGAATGCCACTCATCGTTCCTGTCCGTTGCTCTCTCCGATCGCCCCTCCATCTTCTTCGCGCTCTTCGCTCCCTCCCCCTGCCCCGAACGAGAGGCAGGCCAGGCCAGGCGCAGGCAACACCGCCCGCCGCATGCTACTCTCAGGCCTAAGTTCCCAAGTGGAGACCCATGGGGACGCAGGCAGAGAGCGGGGCGGAGCAGGGCAGGAAAAATGTGGAAAGGCATAGTTACGAGAGATAGAACTAAGTCAGGGTGAGCAAGAATGGCACGAATGAAAAATGAGAAGGGTGGTGTACAAAGGAGGAGACGGGGGAGAGGGCGATACAGACGGATGACATTGGATCTGACAGGAAGGAGGGAGGTTGAGGAGTAGGATCATGTAGACAAAGGAACTTGGGCCTGAGCAGAATCGGCTACTCCACGCAGCCTCTGCAATATTGTAAAACCTCCGCCCTTTCGGGCACCCGAGCTAAGACTGACCTCTGTCTCGTTCCGCTCTCCCCTCGTCCTCTCTCCTCTCCCCTCCCCTCCCTTCTTCCTTCCCCATCCTCGCCGCCCCTCCCCCACCATCCTTCCTGTATCCTCTCCTACTTTTTTTGCCGCCACCAATCCTAGGGAAAATGTGACCGACGCCAGTCTGAATTATGTCTTCCCAGGCGCACACGCTGGCACAACTTTAGGGGGACACTATATATGCTGGACCCGACGGCGCAAGCTGCGCCGCACCTCGTGATGAACCGTTGCCAATCTTCGGGCTGGTAGCACCACACCCATCGCGGGTTGAGTGGCGTCTGCGCGGCAACATGAAAAAACATGTGGTGTTTGTTCACGAGGCTGTACTTAAATTTCGCACTAGCGTAGGCTTTCTGGGCTAATGACTGGTACGTTACCAAAAAGCCGTCTACTGCTGCCTTCAGCCGCGCACACTCATTGGCCGTCAAGAACTGGCCCGCATCACTCACCACGTCGTAAAAACGAATCAAGTTCTTGAACATGAGTGTCCTCGTTCTGAGACGAGTGTCCCCGCCAGCTGGCGCCTTTGCCTGGAACTCTTTCGAAAGCACAAAGCACACCCGCGCCAAACTCTTGGCCTCTGCGGCTTTTATGCTGTGTGACAGCACAGGGTAATCAGAATGGGGGCTATCAGGATCCTTAACGAACATCGACAGCCTGAAATTTGATAGCCGATGTGGCAAGCCAAGCTCACCATAAATCTCTTGAATACGTGTCCACACAATGCGAACTCGGTCGCTGACTCGGCCGCCCAATTCCTCGTAAATTAGCTCATACAGAAGGTTGGCCACAGCGTGGCCAGCCACGCCCAAGTCCACCGTGTGCATAACATCGATGGCGAGGCAGTGGATCGACACTCCCCACGTGGTGAAAAGCGGGTGGTTCGGGACGAACCCCCTTTCGTGCTTCGACCAATGGTTCGGATTACCGCTGGCGTTCGCGAAATCGTTCCACGGATTCCCTGATTTGTCCGCCGTACAAAGCCAACAGAACTTATCGTCTCCAGCATGAGGAGTTCCAAGACTAGAGAAATATTCCAGATCCCCCAAGACCGAATGTATGAATGCCCTATACGGAGCCTCCTCACTGCACAACCATTCCCCGCCTAGTTTGGCGCGCTCCGAATCTAAAGCCTTGTCGTTCCAGTCCGCCGCTCTCCTCCTGGAGAGATTCACCTTCCAGGGGAAGCGCCAGGCCGTGAAACCGCCAGAGCAAGCCGACGACCGCGACGACGACAACGCCCATGTTCACGATGGGGCAGCGCGAAGCGCAATCATCCCCAAGTTTCACAATATCAAATCTTCATGCCCGTTCTCCCTCTCTCCCTCCTCCATTCCCCGTCGCTCCTTTATTCCTTTTTCCGCCCCCTCCCTCATGACCTCTTGCCTCCTCTCCTTCAACTTACCCCCTCCTGTCCTACGCCACCCCACTCCATCCATGCTCTCGCCGCACGAGCGCACGCACCCCTTCCACCCTACGTCGGCCCGCGGGCCGCCGCATCGCCGTGAAGGTGCCTGTTGATTTGGTGGCGGGGCGAAGGGCGACGGAGTGGGAAGTGTAGAGTGGGCGGGGAGACGGAAAAGCGAGGGAGGGGAAGGGAAAACGGGAGGAAGGGAGGAGGGGTGCGAGGGACGGAATAGGTGGCCCCTGGGGAAAGGCGAAGCCTTCCTAATCGACACTCGGAAACCTCCCCTCTGCTAGCGCATTAAAGGACCATCGGAGCACCTTCCATATTTCGTTCCAGCTGTCCTCCCCATGGGCATTTTGCTTTGCACATATACTGAGAGGGAACGACGCCAAGTTCAAAGTGAGGGCCTTCGTCTTCCCGACAGCCCCCAGGCCAGTCATTGAAACCGATGTCATAGAGTCCCGAGCCAGGAACTCAGCCCCGTCCCCATGAACGCGGAGGGGAATCATAAATGACTCCCTCTCCTTCTTGTTTACATGCCAGAAGGGATGGTCACGTAAGCGAAGGTCTGACCTGAGATTGTTTCGATTTTCTGATCTACGCCAGTGCGGAGAGGGATGAGGAAAGGGAGGGGCGGGGGGATGGGGGGAGGGATGGGGGGCGGAGGAGAAGGAGACAGCAGGACGGAAAGATGGGGGAGGAGGAGAAGGAGGAGGAGGAGGAGGAGGAGGAGGAGGAGGAAGCCGACAGTTTCCATATGAGCTAAGGTAGCGCAGGCTAGACCGCGCGACAGCCTCAGTTTCGTTCTAGCCCGTTTTACCACCCTGGAAATTGTTGACAAAACAAAAAAAACGCCCACCTGGAGGTGTTCTGCCAAAAAGTCGGCAACTTGTCGATGGCGAAAATCTCATCGAACTCATCGCGGTGGTGCTTGAATAGCGAGGCGAACCATTCGTGCGGAAGTAGTGCCGCACATACTTTCTGCTGCGCGCTGGCGGTCTTGGAATCCCAAGCTGGGATCTCGAACTGATACGGTTCGGGCAAGGGCGAATCGCCAAACTTCGTCATCAGTTCATGGTGAACGTTCCCAGGATATTCCCCCCACGTCCCCAGGGCTGCCAGCAGCTGAATCTCGGGGTGGACGAGGCCGTCTAAATGAGCGGCGTGGGCCGTGCGTTGGACCTCTGTCGCGGGGATGAGCCCCCACGACCAGGAACCCAACAGTTTAGTGCCCAACTGAGAATACATCGGGGGTCCACGGTCCAAGGGCGCCACCTCCGCTTCGTCCATGGCCCCGTCATGGACCAACCGTCTCTTGTTGTGTTTCTTTGGTGGCATCTTGGGCGGGGGAGGGGAAAGCCTGCCGCCAGGCAGGAACGCCGCCGGCGGGCCCTCGAGCCCCAAATGCCAGCTCGCAGAAAAAAAATCATGAGGCCAGACAAACGGGAACGCCACGACTTGAACGCCCTCGGCTGGATGGCGGTGGAAAGGCGGGGAAGGGAGGGGTTGGAGCGGAAGGCTTCGGGGAAGGGGCGGAGGGGAGGAGCGAGGAGGGGGGGCGGGGTTGGGGGAGGGGTGGGGGCGCGGGATTGCCAAGTTCAGACTGACGGGTTATGCATATATAATATGTGTGTGTGGATGTGAAGACTAGAGGGCAGGGCGGGAGGTGCGGATGATTTCGAGAGAAAGGAGTTCAGGGGGTGGGTCTGGTTCGGGCAACGCGAAGCCGAGCATTCCCGTTTGCCTCGCCCCTTACACGGCAGAGGCGAGCGGCGACGGGGCTAGATAGGGCGGCAGATACCTAGATAGACGGAGCACGGCCAGCACCTCGCTTTCTCGCTCGCTTGCCCAACGTCTGGCTTGCCATCTCGCCACTCTCGCTTCCCCAACTCCTTCTCTCGTCAGGTTCCCCCCTACTCCACCTGATCTGGTTCCTGCCTCCCCTCCTCCCTCTTTCCGCCCTCCATGGTACTGGTTCGTTCCTCATTGGCCCCTTCCTCCACTTACCGCCCACGACCCTCAACGCCTCCTTCGTTCACATCCACCTACACATCCACCTACCATCCACATCCACCTCCCGCATCCAGCTATCATCCACATCCATGCCCACCATCCACATCCACCTGCCATCCACATCAGCATCCGAGGGAGAGGGCGGAGGGGAAGGAGGACACGGAAGAGGAGGGGGAGGAAGAGGAGGGCGATGAACAGAGGGAGAGGGGGGCCGATGAGGGAGAGTGAGATGAGGGGGAGGGAGGAGAAGGAGGTGGAGGAGGAGGAGGAGGAGGAACGACTGTGCTGAAGAGGAACCGACGAGCGACGACCTGCCCGACCCTCTCTCTCTGGCGCTGGCTCCGACTATCTAGACGGCCATTTTGATGACGCCCACCGCGTCGATCATGTGCACCTGAAAGGGCTTCAGGTTCTGAAGGACCTTGCTGTTCTTGGGCTTCTTGTCCGTGGCCCACTCGCCGATGGTGCCGCCGTGCTTGCGGAGGAGGCCCAGCACCTACGCAACGCCGCCCCTTCCAATTTGCCCAGCGAGCCCTTCGAACCTTGCCCGTCCTCACTCAACTCCTGTACCTCTCCCCTCACCCCCTCCCCTCACCGCTTCACCATCCCTCCAGCCTCATACTCCACCACCTCCAAATCGTTCATCTTTCGTTTTCCTCCTTCCTGCTTCTCGCCCTCGACCTCCTCCTCGTTCTCCGCCGCCCCCTTTCCAACCCTCGCGGAGGGGGAGGGGTGCGAAAAAGAACGTGGACGATAACGAATGAAAGTGGGGAGGAGGATGACCAGCACAAGCAAGAACACTTGCAACACTAGAACGTCCAGCAGGCCGTGGGAGGTCCAGGAGCCCGCGGGGGGTCCGTGGGGGGTCTCGTGATCTTCAAAACAAAGGAACGGGAGGACCAGACCACGCGGTCGGGATGGCTCGGCGAGCACTCTTAGAGAGCATCCTCGGTAATTCAGAGCAATGTTGGGATATCCAAACTTAGTCTGAACTCTATCGAGGCACCTGAAAACAGTTGGGGACACCTGTTGGCCTCATGTTTTACAACAGCTTTGAGAACCCAGGCAAAAGCAAGCCCTCACGAACAGCACACTACAACACATCAAAGCACTTCGTAGGTTCCTGAACGCTTTCGCAACTAAGCAAGGCGATGGCCTTCTTGGCGTTCGCTGCAATGAGCGGGTAGCTCTGGCACCACGTCTTGTTGTTGATGAACCCCAAGAGCTTCTCACTGACCGCCTGTAGCCGATATGTTGCCGTGTCCCTCGTTGTCATCTTCTTCCTCTCTTTTCCCTCATACTCTTCCCAATTGTGCCCCTTCTTCCCTCACTCCAGCATGTTCGCAGGCATCATCATCATCTCCCCGCCTTCCCTGCCTTCCATCTTCCTTTCGGCTCATCGCCCATCCTCTCTCGTTCTTCTGTTTTGTATCGTATTGCCCCTTTTTCTTCCTTGGCCGTCTCATCAACTTGCTTATCCGCTTGATCCGACCTCCAATCGGGGCATCGGGGTGGCATCACCACAAATTGTGCACTCTGTTCCCGCGCGTGCAATGTAAATGTGCGGTTGCCTCTGGGCGCGCAAGGCCCCCCCTTCATTGCCTGGCCCTTGTCGTCTTCGTCGCCGCCATCATCATCATCATCATCGGCATATCGCATGCCCAACCACATCCACATCATCATTATCATCATCATCCACATCAGCATCATCATCATCATCATCTCATCATCATCATCATCATCATCATCATCCCCCTCATTCTCCTCATCTGACCGATACAAAAAGTTTGAGGAAAGGGCTGTCCGAGAGGCAATCCCCGACGTGAACCACCACCTCCGAAAAGTCAGTCTCCGTCTTCAGGTCTTTGGGCGTGAAGGTCTGCATCTGATCGTGCAGCTCCTGCAATTTGATCATCTTCGGGTCGACCTGCTAGCGAGAGGACAAGGGAAGGGGCGCTAGCAGGGTGAAGGCCTCCCCTTCCTGCTCCTTCTAGTCCTCCTGCTCCTCCTCCTCCTCCTCCTCCTCCTCCTCCTCCCTCGAAGCCTACCTCCTCCCTGGTACCCTCCCCCCCTCGCCCAACCCCGCCCCGCCCCCCACCCCCCACGCCCCTCACCACTGCCACCACCACCAACTCCTCCTCCTCCTCATCCTCCTCCCCCCCTTCCTCTAACGTCCTCCTCCTCCTCCTCCTTCCGCTTCCTCGAAGCATCCCTCAACGCCCTTGCCTCCTGACGCGCCGCGGGGTCCATTCCCCTATTCCGCGGCCATTTCGCTTGGAGAAATCCGAATAGCGCCATGGGTCTTCTACCCTCATCCTCCGCTGCCTCTTCTGCTTCCTCTTCCTCTTTGTCTGCGCTCGAAGCCACTGGCCACGCGCGTTCAGCCTCGGGGTGCGATTTCAGATTAGGGTTTCAGGAGGCAGAGGGGGTTGAGTGAGTGCACAGGGAAGACGTGTGGGAGGATGCGTTGAATACATCGCGCCTCCTGGCGCGTGCGCCCACGCCCAGCGCCGCCGCCACGGCCGCGGCCTGCTCCGCCGCGGCCTGCTGCGCCGCGGCCTGCTGCGCCGCGCGCTGAAGAAGAGGGAACGTCACCGTCGTGTCCGCCAGCACCTCCGTCCTCGATGTTCAGGCCCATGGCAGCCATGTTGCCTGGGCTGGCGTTGAGGGAGTCTCTCTTTGGATCAACCTTCCATCCCCCTCCAACGCCCACTCCAATCGCCCTCCACTCTTCCTTCTCCCCAATCGCACCTTCCCCAATCGCTCTCCACTCCTTCCTCTCCCCTTCCCCTCCCCCCATCCAAGTCCCTGTCCCCCCCTTCCTCTTGCATTCCCAACGCAGGAAGGTCGTTGGGGGAGGTTTCAGCTTGTTTCTTGTTTTCAAAGGCCGAAGGAGACGAGAGAGTGGCCTTTGACAGGCGAAGGAATGTGATGTGGCTGGGGCTCCGCGGGCCATTAAAATAAACGTGGCAGGAGGGGCAGGATGAAGGAGGGCAAGGCAAGGAGAAGGGAGGGGGGGTAGGAGGGGGTGGGGGGGAAGGAGAGGGAGGATAAGACGGAGGAAGAGGAGAATGCGGAGGAGGATGGATCGCACGTTTAGCAACCCTAGCACCAAACGCTGCGCGGGAATGGAGCATCTGGAACTTCTCCATGCCGTCCACGGACTGCCTGAAGGCGTCCTCGTCCATCTTCCCCCCTTGCGTGCCCATCGTGGCTTTGGACCTGCCCATCTTCTTCGTGTGCGAATCCTTGCGCACGCAGCACTGCTTTCTCTTCGGGTTGTCGGGGTTGGGCCGCGTCTGGCGGCGCGTTTTCTCGGCAATAAGAGGCATCGCATGGACAATCTGACACAAACTATAGTAATTGATTTCCTGGGAAGTGTTGCACGTTCATGGGGGCCCTGATACAACGCGGCGGGGCGCAGAACCACAAGGCCTGCCATCATCCGAAATTGCAACTGACCAGAGAGAGCACAATGTTCCGCGATCGAACCTCATCACGTTCACTACGAGCTCTGTGCGACTCGACCGCGACACTGAAACGAACACTGCAAACATAGTAGCAAACAATTGCACGAAAAAGGGACAGGCCTTCACCAAGTCGTCAGCGATCATCTCCTCGCCCTCGGACTGCCCGTAGTGGTCGTAGAACTGCTTCTCCGTCATCCACTCTTCCGCCCTGGTGTTCTCCTCCTGCCAATTGATGGACCAAGACACCTGCATGTACCGCTCCCCGAGGCTCGGGTCCACGATGAAGGCCGCCAGCATCTTCGCCTTGGTCTCGTATTTCGAGGCGCCCTTGATGTTGCCAGCCTCGACCTCCTTCCACTGCGCTTCCACCTGCTCGGCGTTGTCGCTGTTCTTCCTCGCGCTCTTGAAGCGCCCGTAGAGTGCCCTGGAGAGGTCGATTGTTTATTGTAGGACGGATGGAACCACACCACATCCCTGGAACACAAATCACCACCGCAATCTTCTAACGCCACGGGGCCCAAAGTCGCCTGCAGGCTAAACACCTAACACATATTTGCATTGCTGCGACATCGCACACGCAAGAACCCTTTGGAACCTAGCCTTACACATACTACAACAGTTGTCGGTGGCCTTTCACTGGAGCCAGCGAGTATCTGCGCAGACCGCATCTCTGATCGGACGGACACACACGAGATTTTG